GCTCAAGGTCCTCCACAATTACCAGGTTAAGCATCTGGGTCCCCAAGCACAGATCTTGGCTGTGGGGCTTTCGTCTCGGAAGAACCTCTGTGTCAACCCAACTGTCGTGGCCGCCGAAAATCGAGACTCTGTCGACGCAGCCTGCCGGAAATTGACTGCCAGCTGGGTGAGAGCCTTGGCCGCTGAGAACCCAAATGTGCCTACTTGTGAGTTTTTCGAGCAGTATGAGAAAGCTGGGTCTGGAGCGGTTTTGCCTCCCGGGGTTTATACCCTGCAGGTACTAGTCACTTCTTCACATTGATCACTCAATTGTGGGATCTGAAATTTTGTATCTTTCCTTTTGTTTTCGTTTTGGAATCAAGTAATTGCAATTGGGTTGCTTTATTTTATGTCAAAAAAAGGATTTGAGGGCGTATGGGAAGCAGAGAGGGTGGTGTCCCTACTTCTTGGCAAGGCATATGGTGCAGTTCTCCAATGTGGTGGTTTACAGTTATCAGTATATGCTTGATCCTAAAGTGGCTGGGATTATTTCCAAGGAAATGCAGAAGGAGTCTGTTGTGGTGTTTGATGAGGCCCACAATATTGATAATGTGTGTATTGAAGCGCTTAGTGTTAGTGTGAGGAGGCAGACACTTGAAGGGGCCAGAAGGAATCTCAGTAAGATGCAGCATGAAATTGAAAGGTAGGTGCTAATCTATTCGGCAATGGTTGGTTATGGATTCGAGCTGTAATTAAGGCTCAAAGTCTTACTTTTGTCTAAAGGATGAAGCTTCGTAAATTTGATGGGGCCTTACACATTGGGTCACTTATCTGCCTCTTCATATTCTATCATGATTTGTTTAAAGTAATGGCTAGATTATGTCTAGATACATTTGTTTTCAGCTTCTTTCGATTCTTGCCTTCACATTTGATACAGATTTTCATTTGTTTGCTTGACATGGTAGGTAGGTTCAAGGCCACTGATGCAGATAGATTGCGTAAAGAATACAACCGACTTGTCGAGGGTTTGGCACAAGGAGGAAACCTACCTAGTATGCTGATTGCTCATTCCCATGATTTTTCTTTCATTGAAACTTAAAATATTTGTTTGATGATTTCTTGAGTTCTCATAACTTTTTCTTTATATATGCAGTCACAGATACTTGGCTTCAAAATCCCGCTCTACCTGAAGATATTCTGAAGGAGGCTGTGCCTGGAAATATTCGCAAAGCGGACCATTTTGTGCATGTGTTACGAAGATTGGTCCAGTATTTGGAAGGGCGTCTTGAGACCGAGAATGTTGAGAAGGAAGGCCCTGTTGGTTTTGTTGCCTCTATTAATACACATGCTGGAATTGACCAGAAAACTCTGAAGTTCTGTTATGATCGCCTACACTCACTCATGATGACATTGGAAATTACTGACACAGATGAGTTCTTACACATCCAAACAATCTGTGACTTCGCGACACTTGTGGGGACATACACTCGCGGTTTCTCTATTATAATTGAACCATTTGATGAGCGAATGCCACATATTCCTGATCCTGTTTTGCAGGTTGGTTTTTAGTGGTTTTCTATCTTCAAATTTCATTTTCTATAAAATTGAACCATTTCTAAAAATTGTATTTTGGTCTGTCTCCGCACTTGCATATCTTATCTGGATACTTTGTTTAAAAAACATTTCTTAACAATTCTTGTAAACTGTGTCCACTCTAATGATACTAATGATTTGATGGTTATAGTCCTAGTTTTCCTTTTGACTTTTACAGTATCAGAATTTTTTTTGGTAATTTCGAATAAAGTAGAATAAAATTTTCCTCCAATAGGTTACCTTGCATATGTACTATAGGAGTTTGTCTGCCATTATTTGATCTACTTTTACTGCTTCGTTGGTGGATGGAATGAAGATTTTTCAGTTCTGATATAGTCTTTTCATATGCGGTATTCCAGCTTAGCTGTCATGATGCTTCTCTTGCCATAAAACCTGTATTTGATCGATTTCAATCAGTTGTGATTACATCTGGAACCTTGAGCCCGATTGATCTCTACCCCCGTCTTCTCAATTTCCATCCTGTTGTCAGTCGAAGTTTTACAATGTCATTAACAAGAGACTGCATCTGCCCAATGGTTCTCACACGTGGAAGGTATGACATCGACAAAATATTTTTCTTCTTATATTTCTTTTCTCCCGATTTATTGGAAAGTTGTAAACTTTATGAATCACAACTTTTCTTATCAGATCATAACATCTCTATTTTATTTAGCATCATAATAATTTTATAAGACAGTAATCCCATTAGTTATCTAAATGTCACTCTGAATCAGTATCCTATGGTATATTTCAGTGATCAGCTTCCGGTAAGTACCAAATTTGATATGAGAAGTGATCTTGGCGTGGTAAGGAACTATGGGAGGCTGCTGCTGGAGATGGTTTCTGTTGTCCCAGATGGGGTTGTATGTTTCTTTGTCAGTTACTCTTATATGGATGGAATAGTCAATAGCTGGAACGAAAATGGAATTTTAAAGGTGACTGCACTATCAATGTCTATTACTTTTGCTGGGTTTCTATGACTTTTTCTGTTGCCCTGTTTTCCAATTTTGCCATGAGGTTAGTTTTGCTGATAGTTTCTTAGTGCTCCCGTTGTCACAGGAAATAATGCAGCACAAGCTTGTTTTCATTGAGACCCAAGATGTCGTAGAAACTACTTTGGCTCTTGACAATTACCGGAAGGCTTGTGATTGTGGGAGAGGTGCTGTCTTTTTGTCTGTTGCCAGGTACTGTATCAGTCCTTAAAAAACATTCAAAGTTTCTTATTTCTTATTGTTGATCTCCTAATGGAAATTGCAATTAAACTAAAAAGTAGGGAGTATCTTTTGCTATTCATTTATACTGTCATCCAAAAATCCATTCATAATTCCATGCCACACGTAATATAGAACCTATCCTTTCAATGTTACAATTGATGTTCCACATAGTTCTCTATAATGAAGCTAACATTATATCTTTACTTTCACAGGGGAAAAGTAGCTGAAGGGATAGACTTTGATCGACATTATGGACGATTGGTGATCATGTTTGGTATTCCGTTTCAGTACACATTAAGCAAGTGAGTGCAAATGATATCTCTTTTGTTTTTGTGCGGTGAAAAAGAGATTGTGAAACTAATTTTCTGTGGTATGACATATGAGCTGCCTTTGTTAATCGAGTTCATAAAGCTATGTTGTCTGTGGTTTAACACATGAGCGTATTGTTTTGCAGGATTTTGCTGGCGCGGCTAGAATACTTGCGGGATACCTTTCAAATAAAGGAAGGAGATTTTTTGACTTTTGATGCCTTGGTATCATTGCATTGCCTTTTGTATCATCTAAGAATTATTTGCTTGGCGTTTAGTTTATATGTTTCTGATCGTTTTGAGTTCTCTAATGGGGAACTTACTGGTGCAGAGACAAGCTGCTCAATGTGTAGGCCGAGTCATCCGCTCAAAAGCAGACTATGGCATGATGATATTTGCTGACAAAAGGTTTGAACTCATTTGTTCTTTTTTTATTAATTGAGTTCCAAATTCTTAGATTCTCTTCTAGTTAATCTTTATCTGCTTGAATTTTGGGTGCTTAATTTCGATTTCAGATATAGCCGTCATGACAAGAGATCCAAATTGCCTGGGTGGATACTGTCACATTTACGTGAAGCACACCTAAATTTGAGCACAGACATGGCTCTGCATATAGCACGAGAGGTTTGTCCTTGGTACCAATAAACGCGCGTTCATATCTAGATATGGTTATTGGTTAGCCTGAAATATACTTATCAATCAAACCCATATGTGGTATGCTAACAATATAACTTTGTTTTCTGCGGTTTGCCTTATAAGTCATGCATTATCTGTTTTATCATTATCTTTGTCCTCCTTTGAGAACTGTGCTATATAGCTTTGGGGACCCAATAGAAGAAGTTTAAAAGGATCGAAAATTAAACATTGAAACACATCTTCACTGGGGTGATGAAGTCCTATTATCCTTTTTCAACTGAAACCCTAATCATCTAATGTTGATGAAGATGATCATATCTAAATTTCTTCTTGTTGTAGCTTTTTCTGTTTAGTAGAATTTCGTGGGAATCATATTTTAATATTCTAGTTTGTCAATCTTCTTTATCCTGAATGCAGTTCCTTAGGAAGATGGCTCAACCATATGATAAGGCCGGTAGTGTAAGTGGTAGGAAAACCCTTTTATCCCAAGAAGACTTAGAAAAGATGGGTGAAAGCATCGCTGATGAAATGTTGCGTTAAGGATTCTCTGAATGAAAGCGAAATTCAGTGCAGTTAGTGGGCTGTCCTGTTGCTTGTTCATGATCTACTGCCCTACACACAGAGGAGTTTGGCCAAGTCGGGGGATTTTGTTGTCAGTGGTCTGAGAAGTTAACTGTCGGAGCAAGACATAGCCTTAGGGTCAAAATCGTGGAAGTTTAATTTTTCGGGTGATGGAACTGAAATGGCATTAACGGCTGCTTTGTAGTTGACTTCATGATATACTGTACAAATTCATTGTCGTGTACATTTTTTGCCTGGTTGTAATTTATAGCTCTGGCTTGGCTACTTGCGTTCAATTTTGACTAAGAATATGTTTTACGATGAGTTTATGAAAAGTTCTATCTAATTATCTTCATTTCTTTATAGCCAGCCGATTGGTTCCCCATGGAATTTGAAGTTCTTATTTTCCATGATTTCGATTTTCGACCATACAAGTTGTCTACAGATTCATCCTTCTGAATGAAGGATTGTGACATTAGTTTATGGCGTGTTAATTAACTTAGTCTTGATCATGATCAAAATACTGAAATACATTGTTATATATTCCGCTGGTACCCTATAGTCAAATTCATAATATTTATGACGGTCCATTTTAAATGAATGTGTGATGGAACTTACAAAATTCATAGGATAATCATAATTTGACGATCAATGTGATTGGAAAGAGCTTTGATCAGACTTGACAAATACTGTGGTCCACAGCAAAACATCAAAACTAAACTGGTTTTGGAGTTCTTGTTTAAGATTATGTTGAATGTCACAGAAATATTACATTTGTTAGATTACACAAGGGAATAAATAATAAACACCCATTAGAAGAAGAAAAAAAAAAGTGTTCTAAATATTGTACAGTACTGATGCTGCTAGAGCTACTTGATTTTCCCCTCAAAATTCCTTAATTACGTACGCACTAAAAAGATACTAGGAATCAGATTGGGGAATTATTTGATTTATTACCCTCTTCACTTCCGTAATGCTTATTTTCTTGCCATTCACATTCTCCTTCACCTGAAAAATTAAATTCATTATGTAACAAAAAAAAACCCCAATGAAAATAAATTAAAGGTTACTATTAATATTTGCATGATCGAGAGTATAAATATATGTACCTTGGCCCTCAGCTCAGCTACGAAGAACCCATTATTCAATGAGGACTGGACAACTGTGGTCTCAATTCTTAGCTCTCTTAGAGTTTGCATGATATCAAGCAACAACCCTTCTCTATACGGGCATTGGAGCTCCAACAACCCGTCACTCTCGATTATCGACACCTCTAGAGAGGTACCCATCACCATAGGTGTCGGTGATGGTTGTGGTGGTGGTGGTGGCGGTGGTGGAGGTGGTGACTCCTCCATCGTTTTAGGCTTGGCAACGGCCGCACCACCACTTCCCTCCACAATCCTCAACTTCCTTTTATCCGATCCTGGTGGACCAACCCGGGTCCGCTCCACTACCGTGAGCCCGCTCCGCAACTCTTTCATACTACTTGACCTGTGTATTTCCCCGGATGATCTTGATCGTTGATCATCCTCCATCTGCACATTACGTGCCTCAAGGTCCTGAATCTTCTTACGCAATTGCTTCACGTACTCGATGGTGTCCCCTAATATCGAAGCCTTGTCCATTTTGGTCACGAAGGGAACTAGCGACCTTAGGATAATGAACCTCTCATTAAGCTTCTCGCGACGACGCCGTTCCGCCAGGACATGATTGGCGCTGAGCTCATCTTGTGGGGTCCCCTTCCTCAACCGAGTGGAGGCATCGCCCTCGTGAGATTTTGGCGAGTTCTCGTCGCGGTATTTTGTGTGGAGGAACGGAACGCTGAACAAGATGTATTTAAGGAGCCATTGGGACGTGCCCTCAACTGGCACGAGCATGTGGTGTTCGACGCGAGTCGTCCACTTGGCGAATGCTGATTGGGTGGAGTAGGCGACGTGATCGGTGAACGAGGAATCCGTCCACCTAGTCGCCTGCCTTTGAAGTATGGTGGAGACTGTTTCAGAATAGTGGGTGTCATCATGTGTCAATTCCTCCAATGCTACTGGTCCTGCACCACCAAATAAGGTTATCGCTAATTTGTCAAAGATAATACTAATGACGACGATTATATTCTTGATTAGGTTCAAAGCTTGAAGCACTTATTTCAACAATATAGCGTTGAAACTTTGGTAGCATGGCATCCAAAGATGAAATGAAAAACAAAACCAAGTTGCCCAGATTTCTCACGTGCCTGCGGAAACCACGCAGCTCTTGTACTTTTATATCCGGTTTTGTCTTTTTCCAAACCAAATTGTTCAATCCCAAGAATCTCATTGGTGTTTGGGTTTGAGTGTGCACGGAAAGCATTGGCGCGTTGAAGACCGGAGGTTTTGACTTTTTTGCACGGGAAAAGTGGGATCCAAACATTAGATGTTGACTTATCCTATCCTCATTTTTAGGAGAGACACTCCTCATTTCGGGAAATCATTCTTTGTTATTCTCGTCTAATAATGCAATGACACGTAGAATGATTATTCCTGTTACATGTAATGGTATTTTTAATCTTTTAGACTCGGGAAGTAGCAAGAAAATAATATTTAAAAAATAAGGCTGTGTTGCACCAAGACAAAAATATAAGCAAAAAATATTCTGCCTAGTTTATTTGAAGGAAAAAAAATAATGTAGATAAGATATGACAACTAAAAAGAGTTTGGGGGCTTAAAATTGGTTTGGTACATTGACGGTCCATAAATAAAAAGGCCATTGGCCATGTACGAAATCAATTTAATCTCAAATGTGGCCAGCATTTTTATGTACGAAATATTTTTGAAACATGATATTTCTGTTATAGTTTTTAATTTTTACGTTTCATATTTTAGAAAGGGAAAAAAAAAAGGAGTATCTAGTTGTTTTGTATTGTGTACCTTGGGGTGGCGGTTGGAGCCCGCTGCTGAGTGGCTCTTGTACGGGCGGCCACCGGCGAGTCGACTCAGCTCGATACGAGTCAGCTTGGCGCTGCTGATCGGCTGGGTTAACCCTAGACTGGCTCACTGCTAGTAAGTGGAAATCCGAGTCTAAATTGTTGGACGCGTCGTCCGGAGAGCCTAGCCGGATGTCCTCGGACATCTCTAGCTGCATGAGCTCGCTCGGCTCTGCTGCGGGGGCCGAAACCGCTGGAGGGTTTGGACCTGGAGCAACGGGCTGACCGTTGCGGCCCGTTTCGGCTTCGGAGTCTGACTCTGCCTCCTCGTCCTCCTCTTGATCCTCCTCTTCCTCGTCCTCTTCTTCGTCTTCTTGGGCGGCGTCGAGAGGAGGGTCGGTGCACATGGCGGGGAGGTGAGGAGAGTGGAAATGTGGGTGGTCGGATGACGTAGCGGGGTTGGAGGTTGAGTGCTCGGAGAGGGCGGGTTTTGGGGGAGGAGGGTGGTTGTGGTCAACGAAGAAGGTTTTGACATGTTGGACCAAGGCATTGTCTTCTGGAACCTACATACGTACAATAATACATTGTGTAGCAATAATTAAGCCCCATTTTATTTAATTAATTAGCATATTAATTAACCATATTTGAGGGAAATAATTAAAAGTGTTACCCTCTCTGTGGTGCCTAGTTCGACGACGCCGTCTAGTAGAGGAATGCAAACCACCGTCTGCATTATTTTCAATTGTGTCATGGATATCTGTTAGCTAAGATAAATAATTATAATAAGAATTATAATCGAATTAATGGGTTGGCTAGAGATATATACCTGTATACGAGCACTCTGGAGATGCATGCAAAAAAAAAAACACAAAAAAAAAGAGTAGAATTTAGTTACCAAACTCGTAAATAAAGGGAAAAAAATTATAGGGGATGCAATTAACCCTAGCTAGGGTTTGATTTGAGGCCGGCTAGTTCAACTTAAATGTCAGGTACTGTTTGTAATAATAATTAGAGTTTTTATATTAAAGCTACATAAAGGGAGAGAGAGAGAGAGAGAGAGAGAGAGAGAG